TTGCGCCTGATAGATGAAACGAATAAAAATTCGTCTATTGGAAGGTCTTTCTCCCTCTGTAGTGCGTTTGCGCGTCAAGGGTTGATTACCAGTGAAATATCTTTCCTCTGGGAACGAAATTTCTGACTTTGATATTTATACAGCCGTCGGCGGTGAATGTGACTGATGTCATTTGAAAGTAAATTCTCAGCAAGAATACAATTTGGATTCTTTAATTTCTTAATGTCGTCAGGTGCCTCCTACCAGTGAATTTGTCACGATGGAACGTCTGGAGTCGCGCAGGCCCGTTAACACTTTGTAACTGTAGAAGGATCGTCAACAAACAGTGAATCACCATTTCAGTTCACGTATTTACGCTATTCTCGCTGCAACAAAAGATGTTCAGTCGACTGCCGCAGGATGCAAATGAGTTATTTTTCTTTTACGACCATGATGCAAAGTAACCAGAGTGCGCACATCACCTGGCTGATTATAATTTCAGATCAATCCATCCACAGCCAAAAAAAGAAAACCTGCAATTGATCGAAAATGAAATTTTTACTTTTTCCATTAATCCTTAAGAATGAAGTTATTTCGTGCAACTTTAATTTTTTGGCTCATCGCTATTTTGCGCGGAGTTTCAGGAAAAACAGGTAAGAGCTGGTATTAGACGGCTGAAAGATGCTTCATTGCCAGAGTGAACCTTTTAGCTCCGTTCAGCAAGAAGTTAAGTTCGACAAGTTCTGCCACGCTACACGGCTCTGGTGCGAAAGCGATTCTAACTGCCGAGCCAAACAAAACTCATATTTTTATTTTTCCGTGATCGTGCTCTCGCCGGGTGTTACGATAATCGATTCTTACTTAACGTTCGTGCGACTCTAGCCAAACATTTAAACCGGAGTCTAAATTCTCCTACCACACTTTTGGAGCGTTAACTAGGCTGCAAGACAGGGTCTGGAACTGAGGGACCATTTTCACACAGCTTGCAAAGCGATGGACACGTATGCTAGTCAGCGATATTTCCAAGCAGCTAAGGACTTCTTTGGTGTTCCTGATGTTTTGAACAGATTTTTGAAGATAAGGAATGTTTCTTCTTCAGATGCAATATATTATGTAATTATCAGTTGTAATTATATTCCATTCAGCGTGACTGATAGTTTCGGTTTGGGGAAATGACTTCGAGTCAAGACATCACCGGTTGATGAGAATAGTGATTTAGTAGAGCAATAGGCAGATTCGTATGGGCTTCTCTTTTATCTTCTCTTGAAGTTGCCTGGTATGACTGCTCACTTTATCGTTCTTTCCGTAGCGTTTTCACCTCCTTTGATAAGCGCAGAAAATTAATATGAAAAATCACTTTCAACTCTTGTTTAAACCTGTTTTTTTTTTCACCTCTCTTTTGGAGTATTCACGTTTCATGACTGTACCCTAGCTGGAAATACACGAGTTACATGAATACACATGTTAACACGAAACACAACTATAAATTTTATTGATCTGTAAAAAGTTTCCATTTGCCCATCTGCTGGCAAATATTTGTAATATATTTTAATCCAACCATTTTCTACAACTTGTTAACACCATTACGAAATAATTAGTCATGGAAATGGAAAATTGTGGCTCCAGTTCCCAAAGTTTTGATGATTTCGTATTGTCAGGGAAAAGGAACTGAGGATTTTAGCAGGCCAGCAGATTTAGGGAAACTGCACAGGGATTGTGACTTTTCTAGGCCTGGAAACTATCATTGTGAAGAACCATACTTGTGCTTGGCAACTCATTCTTATTCTTATGAACTAGTTTTAGGAAGGGTACAATATTAATTACATAAATTTGATGCATAGGCTGCGCACAAAACTTCAATTTGACTACATTTGTCAAGCCAACACCAATCCCTAAACACAATAAAATGTTAATAGGGTTAGAGGAGAATTTAATGTACCTTACCTCTGCAATATTTCGTTTAATTATATTAATGACATGAATATTAAGTGATACTGAGATCTAAGAAGATTCAAGGAATGTAAAATCTAGTTGAAAAATTAGAATCCAGCATAGACCGGATAAACAAGATTCTTAGAGAAAGAAATGTGTACTAATGAAAAGGCTGAGCAAAATTTGTTCCAACACCTGCCTGTACCTGTATGGCACGTAGTAATGTCGATCGAGGTCGCTACGATCTCGGTTTTAATGTTGAAAACACACGCGCATGCAGATTTCCTTTAAGCCTGTAGTTCAAACCTACCAAGACTTCAAAACTTCGATGAACACCTCAAAAGGGGAACAAATAAATTTCAAGTTTCTATTTATTTAGTTCAGGTTAGGCAGGTAAAATTGAGTCAAACTTTGATGCGGTGACAGGATCAAGCAATCCTCACATCTAATTTATAAGGTTAGCCTACATGGAACAATAACCTTTCTGTAAGCATTAGACCAGGTTTGTATCAACAATGGGAAAAATCACCCTCATTTACAAGAAAATAACGATCGGGAATCGATAGCAAACCACAGACTTGGGTCTGCCATTAATTTTAAACTTACGACAGTGCTTTAAAAAGAGCAATTTGCTTATTTAAAAAAGTGTAAGTGGGTAGGCTTTCCTTTCTTAATTTCAAAAATTCTCTCCACAAGCTTCCACTGACTATTCATTTCAGTTTGAGGAATTTCGTCTCTGTTCACGTTCTACTAACCTACACTACGGCGCTTGGTATGGTTACAAACCTTTGTTTGGTTCCTCTGTTGCTATTTGCCGGCTTGCTTGCTCCGAAATTCCACTTTCAATTAACGAAAAAAATCTAGAGAGAAATTTGGGCAATGGTCGGCCATAGCACAATTTGGCAGATGACGTGGCAGCCTTAGCTCAGCTCTATGTTTTATACTCTGAAAGAGCACGCCCTTTCAACCAATAACAGCGCGCGTTATATGCGAACTTAATATATATATATATATATAACAATCACTAATTTCGAGCTTTCAAACTTGTTTGAATCTTCTAATTTATTCATTTAAAGTAAACATTCAGATAGTCCTTCCATTAATCTTACCAAATTTAATTTGATCTATCACATATCAATTGTCTATGAAACGGACTTCCCTCTGAATATTAGTGTAACGCACGACATTTCAGTAAATACTGCTTTCAGAGGAACGGTTTTGCTTTGCTCGTACTTTTTATTCACGCTTAGCGTTATGCGATAATAATCGCCATGATGTCCGATAATTTTAACAGACGCTCGTTGTTGTTTACTAGCCTTAATTGAGAAGAGTCGAGTACGGCGCCATGTTGACGGTGAGCGGATTTATGTTTAATATTGTTTGTAATATATCGCTCAAAATCCCAGTTAATACTGCCTTAATGAGAAAAATGGTTTCGCTCAGTCGTACTTTTACATTTACTCTTACGATTTAAGTAAATTGAACGAATCAAATCGTTCGAACAGTAGCGGTGGTCTTGCTTACTTGTAAGCAAATGTTTTCCAGCTTGACATTAAGGGACTTGACGCAAACTCCATACGAATCAGATTTTGTTTACTTATCCTATGAACCCAAGTCAACCAGTTTTGCTGCTAGCCTCTAACCGTAACCTTTTATGACAACGATTGTGACCAAATCCTCACGTAAATGTTTAGTTTGGCCATGAGCATTTGTAAGAACAGCATGCACTATTGAAAGGTTGAGCCAGGGTATTTAATGCAATCTACCTAACGTAGCATGTTGCATTGTGGAAAATACAGCAAAATTATCTAATCATGCATTTTTAAACAAAGGAAGTAAAGTTATAGACTCGCCTGCTTCAACTTTTGAGGGCTTAAGGTACACAGAAATTAATATGGTAAAAAGTTACAGTTAATTCAAAGTTGAAAGTTTGAAAGCTAAAATATGTGTATTACAATCGTGAAACCCCATGCATCCAAGCAAAAATAGCGTCAATTACCACCATAACTTCTCCCAAACATTCATGCTCACAGGAAATCATTAATTTTTGCCACTAGGTGGCACTGTAGTTACAGTAATTCTGTCAGGGACAAAAGCATTTTTCTTTTCAGTTACCTCATAGACCGAGAAGCCTGATTAAGATACACATTTTTCAGAATTTTATTTATGTCAACAGTTGTTAACCCCGAACACATAGCGTGGTCTGCCCGTGTTTTTATAAGAAAAAATCCGATCAATTTCCCACGTACTACTTTCCATGCTCCCATAAGGCCCTGTACAATAAGCCAATCAGAATCCTAAAGCTGTGAAAAATGTCAAACCATCAAAGTTCACAATCTGAAACAATCCGGGCTATAGACAGTTTTGTCTATACAATTTCCTTTGATATGACTGATCTAGACAAGACCAAACCAATCTGACTATGTGACCGAGAGAAGATTGGGGCGATACTTTTCCTTGCTGGCTTTCTCGTGGCGGCTAAGTTGTGCTGCAAAGGAGACGACAGAACAGAATTAAAAATTTCAAGAGACATGTTTGACTTATTTATTTCTGTATTTCTGTGCTACAAATCTAATTTTCGACAGAAAAATTCTATCTGTTTCTGGTTAGATGTCTAAACGACACCTGGTGGAAGGTAGGGGACCGATGAAATAACATACTTCAATCTTATCAGCAATTTCCGAATGAACACTTAAAGGAAATGTCTCGTATTAGAAGTAGTTCTGCAAGAATTTCAGTGAACACACATAGATCAGCTTTAAGCGCCGGTTGTTTGTTTGCTTGATTTGAAGGGCCCCCTCTAGCTTTTTCACACAAGGGCAGTCTTGTTCACGATAAATTCTCCGCAAAGAAACTTTATTCAATTCTATCCCTTTCCGGTGAGATGTCTAAAAGACGCCTCGTGGGAGGTAACGACTGATGAAATACTCCTGGTTGTTATTGTTTTGAATGAAACTGAAAGTTCAGTTTGAAATAAACTCTCGTCAGACCGTCATACTGGACAGTCCTTTATCATAAAGTCGATAAACTGTTCTTAAAAAGGAAATATGATTATGCATGAGCCAAGTCACAACAACAACGGCCGTGTACTCGGACTAAACCAACATGCCCTCGACCTCTGTTTTGATAAATGTAAATAACTTATATCGAGGTTTACCGTATTATTTTTCTTTTTTCAGAAAAAATCGGACATACCTCAAATTTACATGATACTGATAGCAAGTGTGTCCTCAACCGTCCCAAATAAGTCATTGCAGCTCAACTTTAAATTGTGATTTCTCCCACAGATTTCAACCGACGCCATTTAAACTGGTGTTGACGCAAAGTTCTCTCTGTGCTTTCTCAAATGAATTGAGTCCCAGTGGCCACAAAAATCAGAAACAAAGATGCGGGACTAAAATGTGGGGCTGGCCTAAGTTTTTAAAAATTGGACCGTGACACTATGTTTCATAGCGTCATGGTATAGACAAAACAATGTATGACACGGACTGAGCAGTAGTTTACAAACTGAAATATTTCGCCAGGTCGAATCCAACAACATTTTTTTTTGAAGCTTTTTAATCTTAATGCAGTATCTGAAAGTAAGATGTTCAGCGAATACTGGCAGAATCGTGGCTCATAAAAACACTCAAGCTTTTTCACTTAACAATTAGAAAACAAACGACTCAAAGCGTGTGTTTTTTGACTGAACGACAGCCGAATCACAGGAACATGAAGATTGTTTGGGATGAAAGCACTGTAAAATTTGGCTGCTGTGACTGAGATGGCCTGCCACTTGGGGCATCACAAAGGATATCACAGCAAGCTCTTAGTGGTTCACTCGCAGTGCAGCAGATGTAATTTATGAGGCTTGCTTCCTTACGATGTCACCGGAGATTGCCTTAGTAAGCTATCTGTACGTGATAGGCCACAACATGATGGCAGTCGCTCTTACAACGTCATGTTTGAAGAGATTTTATCAGCTATTCAAGTTTCGTTACATTTTTCATCATTCCTGTTTGGTTTTTTTTTGTTTTTGAACACGAAAATATTTATACTGTACGAGTGTTAGCTGCGTTTGAGTTTTGTTACCTTACGTAATTTTACAATCTAAATGAGCTTTAAAACTTTAAAAACACCAACAATCCATTAAGTTTTCTCTTTGGTGATTTTCGTCTCTGCTCACGTTATAAGAACGTTAATTACTGCGCTTGGAATGTTTACAAACCTTTGTTTGGTTCTTCTATTGCTAATTGGCGGCTCGCTTGTTCCAAAATTTTACTTTCGATTAACGAAAAAAGCTAGAGCCGAAGTCTTGGCCGATGGACGGACATTGTACAAATAGGCAGATGGCCTGACAGCTTTTGCCGTGTTTTGTACTTTGATAAAATACGCTCTTTCAATCAATGACAGCGCGTTATATCCGAACTTTACTATAAAATAGTTAACATTCCTCTGCAGAGACTCTTTTGGAGGAACCGACCAGAACAGGCCTTTGGTACTGGAGTATCTTTAAAGAAGGTGGAGGAGGAACAGGGGTGAGTTTCTTGATTTTGATAACTTATGTCCTAAAAACCTCTCTGACATGTGTTATTAAACATCAACTTTGTCACTGTTAGGTTTATGTATATATATTTTATAAAAGTAATCCCCAATTATCAAAGAAGTTAAGGTAGAGGTTAATTTAAAACATTTGGAAATGAAGCAAGCGATGGGCGGTTGAAATCCAAGTAAATGTATGCAGGAAGATTTTGTGGGAGAAATATGAGCCTAGAAAAGCCAGAAAATGCACAGGTGATGTGCAGTAAGTGGTCTCAAGCCGCTACGTTACTCAAACCAAGGATAATTTCCCATGGATTCGGTCCAGGCATGTGTAGTATTTGAATTTAAAATAAGGCACATCTTGTATACAAAGAAAGTGAACTGAAGAAAATATAGTTACCTAGAATAAGAGAGTTTTGACTTATCTTGGGACCTATTATCATATCAATCAAGAAGTATATAAGCAACACTTTCTTTCATTTGTCATGTTATTTAAAGGAAATATTTTGTAAGAGCAAACTTTTTTCATGTTTTCATACTCTCATCTAAACACTCGATTTCCTCTTCAGATCTGTTCCGTTAATTTTTTCAGCAGACTCGCACTTGAACCAATTCTTTAGGATGAATCTGATTAAACCCATCTTTAAACAGTAGTTATATAAAATAGGTAACTAATATTTTTCCCTCTTCATCTTAAACAATTTTAGTATCCTTCTTCCCATCCTCCAATAAACCAGGACTTCCCATGACCTTACTTGACATTTCAAATAACGGAAAGCCAATTACAAGTCAGTGACAATCAATAGTATTCATTATTCCAAAGAGGTCAAAGCCTAAATGCATGAAACACCCAGGTTTTTGGTAAATATCGCATGAAAAAGCACATATGCTGTAAAACAATGCCATTTGGAGTTTATTTTAATATGTAATTTGATAATTAGATCTTTTTATTGATTCATGTAAAAGAAAGTTAAAGTATCAACCTATCTGATAATGCTTCATGTTTGCCTAGTATATGTGCAGAAATGTTTAGTACAGTTTACGTTCAGTACATGTATATTGTGTACAGACCATCACATTTGAAGTGAGTATATTACTCCTCTACGATAAGGCAATAATTGGGTTTTTATTCTCTTGCAGTGGAATCGCCCTTCAACTCAATATCAAGCTTACGCAGTCTGTGATATTGCAAACAAAAAAGAAACAAAGAACTGGTTAATAGCAGAGTTCATTAACATCAAGAATGCTAAACGACTCGATATTGAAGTGACCTATACCCTCCTTAACTGCCCCATAGCTAACGTGGGGCCATTCTGCAGAAAAAACTTCTCTCTGTATTCTTATCATACTGATTACAAATTAAATCCAGATCCAACAAAACTAAATTTTAAAAAAGAAACTGTTATAACTCCAAAAACTCTACCTGCGCCTGGGGAGCGCACTACAAACACATTTTATGGTTCAGTTTTAACAAAAACAAAAGGAATTTATTTAGCATTATTAGACCAAGGAGCTTGCTTGTTATTAAAAAAGTTTGTGTTGAGATATCATTTCTGCTCTGAAACGGTCGCTTTCAAAATGGTTAGATTTTCAAGAACAGTTGCCCCAGCAAACGACAGGAATTTAATCAAACAAGAAGGAGAATGTACAGATCCTAACTCGATTACAAAAAACAACAAAAAGTTGTTTGGCGTGTGTCTTAGTAAAGGGGAGTGGAACATAACAGATAACTCAACCTGCCTTTGCAATTATGGTTATGAGTTGACGAATGGATCTTTCACATGCAAAGGTAAGTGCTGCACTTAAAACCTGGATTTGCCTCCGAAGCGTTAGGTCCAAAACAGATATTTAATCGTTCAAATGGCTAAACATCTAAATGACCACTACATTTGATTATCGTTTAGTATAAAGCGTATAGAAGGTTCGATGCATAACTTACATGAAAATGGACTGTTTGGTCGTACTTCACATGTTCATATAAATTCAATCGGTGGACGTAGTTAACTAAATAGTCAAGGACATAAGAACTGGAAAAGAAGACACCAGGACAAAGAACCTCTTTTTGCAGTTGGTATTCTCTTGGTTCTGAAGGAAAGGCATGTTGACGAAATTTCACATTGTTTCATTTTAGAGTGTCAGAGAGGCTTCTATAAGGATTCTGTTAGTAATTCAAAATGCGTGCCTTGTCCTGCAAATTCAGCACCTGATACTGGCAGAACTGGTTGCACGTGTAAAGAAGGTTACTACAGATCATCTAATCTGGCAGATTGTGAAGGTATACATGTATATATTAGTGTTTGGTCTTGTCCTAATCGTTGATTAACAAGAGTCCTAAAGCCTACAGAGGATCATTTCGATTTTGTCTGATAAAATTTCAAAAGGCTCAAAAGAACAAAAGGCTCTCCAATGTAACGTTCTACTTAATGCTTAAAACATCGATAGGGATATATGCGTAATTCCTTCCACCACCAACTCAACAACAGCATAGTCTGTTTTGGCTATGAGGGAAGTCTATTTCCTAGAATAATAAATTTGGAGCAAACAGAGGTAAACAAGGAAGCGAAATCTTTCTGCCACCTCACCTAAAAGGACTTAACAAGAAACGGGTGGGTATGCGGGAAAAACAACGCCACTTGACAAAACAGAGTTCGCGCTACGAGAGAACTAAGAAAACTGAAACCTAGTACTACAACCGATAAAGAATAGACAAAGGTGTGTCGCGTGGCATGTGGCGATTAATCGCTTTGCGCAATAGCTCCCAAAAAGGGAATATTAACCAACGGTGCGGTCAATATGGCTCTATATTGACCGAGTTCTTTCTTTTTTGGTCTCGGTCCTGAAAACACAGAAAAAGAACAAGGGTAATATCCAGCCATCTTGACCGAACGAACTTGGTCAATGAATGATTAATTGTATCGGGAAAAAAGATATTATGACTCTCTTCTGCCGCTTTTTGCGACTTCATCGCCGACATTGTCCAAAAATAACCGCTCCATGTACTTCTTCCCTTTGCGCGGGATCAAGGACAACAATCCCTAACGGGTTCGGCAGCCAGTCAGAACACAGGACACGCTTTATGTTACTTATGGGTGCTGCTGGTGCTATGAAAAATGTTATTATGATAAAGTGACCTACATGTATCATGCGTGTAAATGTCAGAAAGAAACCAGACTAGTGTAGCTAAGGACTTCTCTTGATAGAAAATCGTGCCCATTATTTTCTTAGAAGCTCATAGAGAGGTGGAAAGGCATGCTTCCCCTGAAAACTTTAAAAAATACAGTCCTCTTTGATGCCATTTCCAACATATTAAGATCATATTCAATTGAAAATTTTCTTGGATAACCTGATTGTTACATTTTTTAACCACTCAGTTAAAGCGGTCGCCTCTTGGTCCCTGTTTACATTTTTGATAATGGTATTTACTTTAATGCGGGAAATGAAATGTTGGTCATGATATCCAATGGAGTCACAAAATATCAACTAGTCTACGTTCATTTGTGTCTAATTGCAGTGTCTTTTTATTCAAATGTACAGTCATGGAAAAAGCACTGATCAACATAACCATGGTCATCACCAGTGAAAGTTGTGCTGATGGGAAATACGACATATCTTCATTACTGAAGAGACTCAAGGAAGTGGTAACCATTTTGTTTAGAGCAATATTTCTATTTATATCTGTATTTCTTTCTTCTATTTCTGCCGTTGCAGATCATACAACTGCAATTTTAGTTTTTGTTGTCGTTCGATAATGGTTGGCCATAGAGACCTATTTTAATGAACTAAAAAATTCCAAATGAGTCTGTTCAGCGCTTGCATGGGCATGCCAGGAAGGTTTATAAAAGAGGTTTTTTTTATGACAAATTGGTAATATTCTTTAGTTTTTTTGTCAGTGAACATTTATATGTTTATCTGATTGTGTGTTGGTGTTTAAGGTGTTGGATGAACTCCTCGAACTCCTGTTCAGTTTCACTTTTCTATTCCTTCTTTAGATGGAAGAGGCTTTTGCATGGAGATTTGCAGGTTTCAAAAGTGTGCAGTTGAAAAGTAGCATCAGGTTTTTAAATTGCCTGTATCAGCAAATGAATTATAATTTTCCGGTTTCTAAGGCACTCCGCCTTCTAATGACCCTCGTTTTTTGTCTTAATCAAGGTGTGAAAGTACAACTTTTTACCTTACACTCATAATCGATTCCAAAGTAAAAGAGCAAGATGTTATAATAGTGCTTCGTGATGCTTCCAGAGATGGGAAGCTTGGAGACTTCACTGTGAGTGCTGTAAAAAGGACAAGATTGCAAATTGACTTCGAAACTGGAACTAATGAAGCAGACACAATAACGGCACCCGGCAGTAAGCTTTAATCCTTCAATACAAACATTATAGTTGATTGGTAGCAGAAATTTTAGTTCATGATATGCTTCAATTGGAGTGGTTAATCATAAAATGAAATTTAATCACTTTCAAGAGAAACACACACACATTATGCACGCTGTACAAGTATGTTCAGCATCTAGTTGGAATATTCTTCTTCTTTATGGTATCCATGTTGATGTACTTGATTGTATCGACTTTTTAAACATCATACATACACATCTTAGGGTCATTCTTGCTATGAGTAATTATTGTAAATATAAGCTTTTAGATTTCTCCAGGCTGCTGAGTCATGCTGACTTGCATACCATAGAACTTTCCAGAACATTTCATCGAGTCACGCATTTATAATATAATTTTCTCGCTTCTGGAAGTAAATGTCGCGAGAACAATAGGCATTTTGCCCGATTCGCTTATCTCAGCAGAATGTAAGAAATTTAACAACACAATTGTGACGAACTAGATCAGAAAGCAAAACATTTGGACTCAGGATCCAACGTAGATTACATTACTTTTAATTCTCACAACACACAGTTATGATAGAGAAATGATCGTGAAAGTGCCTGCACGTAAACTTATATACTGCATACAGACTGCTTGAATCCTAGAAATGAGCCTCGAAGAGTAAAGAAAAAAACTTTTATCAAGCTAAGTAGTTAACAACTGTAGTGCAGTGTACACCAAAGAACTTTCATTCGTTTTGTTGGCTCGTATCTCAAATTGTTTTTAAAACATTTTTACGAATCAAATTTTTAAAACTTGTCAGGAATTAAATAAAAAGTTGTATGAGTAGCAAGAGGCATCATGACTAAAACGGTTAAGCGGAGGATTGCCATAATTTAGTTTAAGGAGGCATATATTTCATATGTTGTTCAACTCTTGTTTTTAAGGTGCCACAGGGATCACTGTTAGTGTAGTGGTTGGATCAATTGCCGCGCTGGCTGTTGCTGCTGGGATATTTGTCTTTTTCGTATGGAAGTGGAGAAAGAACTCAAATGGTAAGAGTAGTATTAATGTCAACAATAGCCCCCAAAAAAGTCGCGTAGTATCAAGCAACTGAAAACAGTTTATGTTTTTTATAGCCTCGTCTTAAAATAAGGCAGGTTACTGGATTTCGAAACAGTTCTAATAAATCCCTTTAAAAAAATAGATTTTTGGTGTCCAGCACCGTTATAAAAGATGTCATGAAATTATTGGATCGATTACAAACTGAATACTCTAAACTTCTAAGGTTCCCTGAAACAAAGGTGGCAAATGTGCGATGAAAGAACATTCAAGAAAAAGCAACTAGATTCCACCGCAAAAAACACTGAACAAAAGGAGTACGAGAAAGTGTCCACATCAATTTTCAGTGTTTATGAAATACATGTCAGAAGACATTATTCTGCGTTGCCTTTGAATTGTTTGTTACTTTCTCTTTCTATACTTTTCGAGATGGTTTTCTTTGCTATCTTCTCACTGTACGTTTTTCATGTTTTTCATACTTTTTTCTTTTTTATCGTTTTAGAAACACGAAGAAGAGAGAGGTGAGATTTTTAGAAAGACAAAGAATTGTCCAATTTCGTGTCTTGTTTTTGATACCAGTTGTAAACTGCGTACAACTGTGAATTTCAAGCATGGATTATGATAGCTACGCTTAGAGAAAGAGCTTCATCTAGAGTCAATTTCCCAGAGCATCCGTAACGTGATTTCTTTAAAACTAGACGAGACACGAGACCTTTTGAGAATTGAGTATTCAGATATAATAATCTTTCCTGAGAGGCAGTCCACTCAATGAAAGGCACAGATGCCTGGCTCTTAATGTTTATGAAACCTTTTTTGAGCCAATACAGCAGCGCAAAATGTGGCATGTTGTCACTAATCGTTTCATTACTAATACTTATAGAGTGCCTAGATTGTGCTTTCCCAGCTGTATAAATCGTCAACGTGCTTCTTCAATCGAAAATGTGATTTTCTTTTTATACTTTTTAGGACAGACAGAGATACAATTGAGGAAACAGGGGATGTTGTTGTAAGTCCCTGGAAGATTTTAACTCTCAACCTTATTGTGGTACAATACAGTATTTAATTTTTTTAAGAGGCACGGTAACGAATCCTTCAATCTGATTGCTTCTTAAAGCAGTCCGGATTTTCCTACCTCTGCCAATGGGCACAGTAACGCTTTCGTGGATCGCGGAGTACATTCTTAGCTTCGTTGCAATTTTTTTCATAAATGTATGTTGTTTTAACGGATGAGCAGCATTTTTAAGCACAGACTTCTAAATTTATTAATAATTATTTGCTCCCTCGTTCTCAAATCAATTTGTTCGCTTGGATTACTGTTCCGAAGTTTGCATAGAAGTCTTCCAAATCACTGTTATCATTACGCAAATAGAAATGTTCGGTAAAGCCTAAATCATTAAGTTATCTCCTTTACTTTCTACTCGCTAAGACATTGTTCAGTTTATAGAGGATCTTCCCATAATTACAAGCACCTTAAGGTTTAAGGAAAAAATAAAAACGTCACATACAAGCCTTGTTCGGTCCGTATTACTAATACAGGGGGCACAGGCTTTCCTCAGGAAAGCCTGTGCCCTCTGTCTTGACTGAGAGCTGGTGGATAACACATATGTACTTTGGCAGATATCGGTGATCTCAGTTTATGTCATTCTCCATTTCAATTGCGTAATTACTATACAAAAACACTTTAAATAACATCACTGGAACTTTATTTTCTTTTTTTTTGGCGCGATATGTTTTGTGTCTTTGGATAAAATGTGCTGTGTCGACAAAGTCATTTGCATTTGATGAAATTATTTATTACCAGCGACAGTTTGTCTATTAGTCTTCACTTATTCCGTGTTCGTATCTGTACCACGCTCGCTCTGCACTAATATTATTTTATAAGATGCTTGTCAAGTACATTGTACAACTGATGGCAGAGACGATGCTCAACACCACCACAAATCAGAATGATCATCAGTGTAATCTGTAGGAAGCAGAAGAACAAGCCAGCACCTTTTCTTTTTTTTTTTTTATCTTTTACTAGCGCACTTCCAGTAACAACTCCCAAAGAATGGAAGATATTGTCATAAGTGGTCATGAAATTCCTACAGGACACAGCCAAAAAAAAATTAATATTTGATACGAGCTAGCACATTTTCTTTTTATATTTTTTATAAGTATAATGATGATATTATGCAACACATTCGCATGAAAATTGTTAACATGAACCACGGAATGAAAAAAAGGTAGATTTGAAAAAAATTTCCGCCGTAGCCCTAGCTAATGATTCCTTTTATTATTTCAAACTCAAAAGACTGGACTTGAGATGGCGGAAGCTTCTCAAAGCCACCAGTATATGGCATTGGATGAGGGGAATCGGTCACCGGCGAACTGTCCACAACCGAGCCAGTCTGTCACCGAATACACCAATGTTGAATGTTGGGAGATTCCTACAGAGCTTGTGACTCTAGAAAAGGTCGTTGGTGAAGGGGCTTTTGGTCAGGTTGTTAAGGCAACAGTCATAGGTCTCCAGGGGAAACCAACGAAAACGCTTGTGGCTGTTAAGATGTTGAAAGGTATCAAATACTTCAAATACTTAGATGTGCTTCAATGAAATTCCGAAGGTAACACTCCCCTGGAAAAACTTAATCTTAGGCAGGCAGTGTCAAAAGATTCAGCCTTCTTTTCAATTCTGAAGGTAGCAAGGCAAGCCCAATCTCCCCCCACAACCCCTCTTAAATGGGGAGAGTATGGTTCATTTAGTAGTATATCTATTCTATCTATTCTTCAATCAGCAGTCAACTAAACGGGACCTCAGTTAGTTGAGCAGGATCGTGAGGTATCAAACAGACCATGAATAGATATGGACGCGATCCTCGCAGTTATGAACACCATTTAAGTAGTAGTGAAAATAACGCCCGAAAAAAATTCAGGCCTGTACGGGCCTTATTTTCTCTTTTACTTAACTAGTGTTCATAACTGCGAGGATCGATTTCATATCCAGATCGTTTACTCAAACGTAGTTCATATGTATAACTTTCATATATTTACAGTCATTTATAGACCATGAATGAGTTGACCAGACCTGCGTAATTGAGGCATGACACGACGAGCTTCTCACGTGGTCTCAGCATGAAACTTGATGGTGCAGCGCCCTCTGATATCAGAAGTCGCACAATTTTCTTACAAATTTATCAGAAGAACTATGTCTTTTCCCGAAAGAACATAACGACAGAGACGTTTATTTGTAGAGAATTAAATTCTCGCCAACAATCGACACTCCTCCCTCCCACCTTTTCAAAAGTAGCAAACCTCAAAGACTGTTTTTCCAAATTCAAATTGACATAAGGATGGTCCCTTTCAACATAAAACCTCAGCGGGAAAAGGAAGAAATGTCTCTGTTAAGCGTATGCCGCTTAGCAATTGTTTGGTAGAAATCTTACGCTAACTAAATTCAATATCATTAAAGCATGGTGATACTGGTATAGCAGTGGAATGAAGGGTTTTGTTGTTATATTTGACGACTGAGATTGATGTTTGAAATTTATAGAAATTTATATTTACTTGCAGAGTACTAGAGTCCCAATTCAGTCCGTATTTTTGAGCTTTGCACACGAGCTCCAAAGATAAACTTGTATAAGATATTTCACGACAATTACTATTTCATAATCTTGTGATTTTAGATACGATGTTCAATCACTAAACAACACGGAGCTCAAAGTTCGGAAGAAAATGTGCCACTTATTTTGATTCAGCAAGTCAGAGAATATCAACTGATATTTTCTGAGGTCCAGTTGCTGATATTGTTTTTAAAGGTAACAGCTGTTGGGTGATCATCTTGCAGATCACGCTTCTGAGTCGGACAGGAAGGACTTGTTGTCCGAACTTCGATTGATGAAGGAACTCGATGCTCATCCTCATGTTATTAAACTTCTGGGATGTGTCACGAAATCTGGTAAATATGGAAAAGTGTAATTTAATCGCCTAAACAGCCAAAACAAAGAGCAGATCTATCGCTTAATATAGGCATATTTCCCTGTTTACCATGCTTTACAGGGCCATTGATGGTGTTGATTGAATACGTACCCTATGGAGATCTACTGGGATACCTCAGAAAGAGTCGTGGATTAAATGATACTTACTTCGAAGACCCGGATATTAAACCACAAAGTAATCTGACGTCAGAGCAGCTGATGAAGTTTGCGTGGCAAGTTGCCGATGGAATGTCGTATTTGTCATCGATACCAGTAAGTAGGAACGCAATCTCTAGTTACTAAACTGTTTCTTTGGCATATGTTGCTGAAATATGACATAAGTCATTACTTTTCATTCTTTTCGTTCAATTATTCTGGACCTCTCAATTCATTAACATTAATGATTTTTTTTTAATTATCGCAGATTATCCATCGAGACCTTGCAGCTCGTAATGTGTTGGTTGGAAAAGGAGAAACGTGCAAAGTAACAGACTTTGGTATGGCCAGAGACGTCAAAGAGGAGAGCATTTATCAACGGAAGTCTAAGGTACCGAATTTGTTCTCTTAGCTAGAGATCTGTGAACAGTCTGCTGTGGGTGAAGTTGTACTTGTCCTTGATCATGATCTTTTCCTCAGTTTTGTCGATCAATTCTATGTGTTTTTAATTTAGGGACGTCTTCCCGTTAAATGGACTGCCATTGAGGCATTGCTGTACGGAAAATATTCTACAAAGAGTGATGTGTGAGTACAAGGCCTTCATAAGGTCCATAAGCCAATTGGGTAAAGTGATTGGATGTCTAATGTATGTTATGCTTCGTATTTCTTAAAATTGATGTGGAGATGTGGAGGCATCCTATTTAGAAGGGGTGGTAATACCCTTTCTGGCTTTGAGTTATAAGTAACGGTCCAGGTCCCGCTCCTATTACAAGTCTAGTGTGCTTCCCACGGTGTTTTACCGAAGATATTTAATTCACCTTTTTTTTAACAGTACGGAACAGAACGTTTATTTCCTTTAATGCATCTCGTTTGTTTTGCAGATGGAGCTACGGAGTTCTCCTCTATGAGATCTTCACGATTGGTAGGTCGCGAGATTAATAACCAGACCATTAACTTTAGCGTCAACGTGTCAATAAAAGTGGCATTTGTGTTGACACGTGGTCAGGAAGTAAGCATGGTGTACCATTCTCTGAGGAATTCAGTTTTGCCTTTGTGTTTTGTACCTGCCAGGCCACCTTAGATTGCCTCAGTCGCTGAACTTATTGGAAAAAACAAACAAACAAACAAACTAGGAACAATGGTACAGGAATTATATTGTAAAAATATATTTACAAGTGTCAGGCCCTTGAAGTGTATTTAGAGTACCCGCTTTATTTTAGGTGGTTCACCGTATCCAGGGAAGGATGCAAAAAAAATGGCAAAGTTGCTAGAGAGGGGATACAGAATGCCTAAACCACAACATGTGGATGAGAAGTTGTATGAAAAGATTGTGTTGTTGTTGTTGTTTTCTTTGTACGTTCTTATAGCGGTAACATTTATTTGAAAAGTTCTTCTTGTGAAAGTTGCGTGTGCAGCTCAAAATTAAACCTGTTTTTCTTCCTAAATGAGCTTACCTAGGGGAAATATTGGAATGAGTCAATGATCACGAGTTTGTCTCTTGTGTTCAGTAAAGAAAGGAACAAACTTTCCTACTGTATATTGCAACATTTTGTGCCTATCAACATCCTAACTGAGGGCAATAAGAACGTATACTGATATATCCTTAACGCCTTTGTGTTTCAGGTATGACATAATGACAAACTGTTGGAACGACGACCCTAACTTGAGACCATCTTTTGAAAATCTGAGGAAAGAACTCAAAGAAATGGAAAACCGGCACAAGGTAGATTTGTAGAGCTAATTTTGATCGTTTTAAGTTCCATCTGGCTTATGCAGGGTGACTTAAAAACGCAGAATATCGTCTACTTTAGGGTAGCAGATTTTGGGTATTATAGTTTATTATGACAATTACGGAAGTTTCGAAGCTACTTTACCTAAATATGAGGTAACAATGATATAACAGGATTCCACCCAGTGTCCTTGCACACGTTCCAAAGCTTGTTCACAAAACACGGAAGGGGAGTATGTTTTGTTCATAGAATGAAAACCCAAAGTAAATGCAAAGTTGTATTGAGTTAATACCAGTGTAGTGCTTCGAACCTTTCATTTAGTCTCCAGAGAGGTACACTACAATATTCCTTAGCTTTTTCTTTATTCTTTTCTGATATTGAAATTTAGAATCTACCACTGTCAAATGCATGTAATAATTGTGTGACTACGAGGTGTTCGAGCGTTGCAGGTCTATTTTATTTTCGTTATTTCCAAGTATATTTTCATCATCAACACGCTCTTTACGAAGGACGAAAAGTCAGTCAACACTTTTTTTTCTGCAGGGGCTGATAAATTTAAGCAATTACGACGATCGACTCTACGTTAATGTTGACGATCTTGCTGTGTAAGCGTATGCATTGTTATGGAGCAAAGGATTAAGTGATAAGTCTTGCAGCCCTAGGAGATCGTATGCTATTTTCTCTGTGTATTTGAAGTTAACCTTTCATCCTTTGTTAATACACAACGATAGTCTAACAGCGAAGGGAGGAACAGTATAACTTTCCTTTAGTTTCATGTGTATCTTTTAGCATTTTTGTCTTGAAAAGACACACGTTTTTTTAGAAATTTATTACAAGTGATATAAATTAAAATGAATGTTTCAGACTAAATATTCATTTTCGTGTACAGTGTAAAACTGTTGAGGAATTTATGAGAATAATAGTGTATTTATGACATTTATTTGACGGCTGTTCTGTGAGTTCCACTCTAAATCAAAGGATTGTTAATTAAGCTAATGATTGGACAAAGTCTTTTTCTTTTGTTATTTAAACAATTGTTTTCGCTGAAATTTTTTATGTCAGGTTGATACATTTTCTGTGTTGTACAGCATCGTAAAAATCAATAAATAGTTTCTGTTGGTGACCACGATGGGGCGTTGAAGTCTTGAGCGGCATCCACTGTCAGGGAACCCATTTCCACTTTGAACAAGGCAAGGGTGAATGGGTATTCTAGTTCGTGGCAAGAACAACTGGCCAAGATAACACTGATCGTCACCGGCCGCTTAAGATTACGTATAGAAAAATGCAACTGCATTGGAATATAGTTTCCATGAACATCAAGATGAAGCCGATGAGGAACACCAATTATAAGATAGCGGTCATTTTCGCTTATGCGAAGTCTCGGAACATCAGGAATACGTCATATTCTCTCTTTTAGCAAATCAACATCAGTTTTCGGGGAATTTATCAGAGAGTTCCAGCTAAAGTTATAACTACGATAAGGTTTTTTTTTGAAAGTCCTTTTTTCACACTGACCGAATCAGGAATGAGCGAACTTTCTGCTTTGAAGCAAGAGGATTTTTTTCCCTGCCCTTTTCGACTGTGTATAGAAAATCTAGAGCCCTGTAGTACATGTTAAAACGTGCCATGGGAGGAACACCTATTGTAAGATGACTACCGTTTTGTCTCGTTTGTACAGCCCAAACCAAGGCCGTAGATATTAATGAACCGCGCAAACATCGTTGGCACGTTTGAAGTGTCACAAATAAGGAGTGGGTCAAGTGTACACCACACCTATGAGCTTTTAC